TTTTTTTTTTTTTTTTTTTTTTTTTTTGGGGGGGGGGGGGGGTAAAAATCCATATACTAGATTGTTACATGGTTGTGAGCCTAGGCAAACTCAAGTTTTTAGTCTGCCACTTGATTTCCCAGTTTACATTACACTGTAGAATTTCGGGTATTGTCCTGGTAAAAATTATAGTGGTTTGTAAATTTTAATCACTCAGAATTGGAATATGTTTGATGCAGCTGTGCACACTTGAGTTTGAGACACGGCGTGCTTCATACTACTGGTTACTGGATGCACTGAGCCTTTACCAACCTCATGTATGGGAATACTCTCGTCTGAATGTCACCAACACAGTGATGTCTAATGTAAGGTGCGTTAATGAAATGAATATTCTGTAAGGAATTTTTTGTATTTTTTGCTTCTCTTGTACTCCATTATTCTACAACATAAATCATGCTCGACCATGGTATGCTGTTGCAGTTGAATTGTCTTGTTACAGAAAAGTGGGTTGATAGTTGGGATGATCCATGTCTGATGACATTAGCTGGATTGCAGCGTAGAGGTGTTACTTCAACTTCAATCAATGCTTTTGTTCGAGGGATCGGAATCACCAGAAGGTTGAATTGCATATACAATATTAGTATATAAATTTTTATCTCAGATTCTATATGATATATATTTCGGTTGTTTCACTAATGATATCCTGTACTGCAGTGATTGTAGTATAATACGTTTGGACCGCCTCGAGTATCATATAAGAGAGGAACTTAACAAAACAGCTCCTCGCTCAATGGTTGTGCTAAATCCACTCAAGGTGTGAATCTTATCTATTCATTTTGTGGGAAATAAATTATCTGTATTTGGTCTGACTGTTTCTTTGTTTTTGGTTGTTATTAGCAACTTGGAAGCAGGCTCAGTAATTGATATGGAGGCAAAGAAATGGCCTGATGCTCAAATAGATGATGCATCTTCTTTGTACAAGGTAAACATGAATTTCAAGTTCAAATCTTATTAATTTATTATCCATGATGCTTGGTGTGATGACCTTTCTCTCCAGCTTTTTGACTTTGAGCACTCATCTAAGCGGCTGTTTCTCTATCTTACCTATGCCAAATATGAATGCAAGTGCTGGATGTTTTGATTTTGTAACTGAGATTGCCTTTTCTGCTCTCAATATAGGTCCCTTTTTCCAATGTTGTATATATCGATCACACTGATTTCCGCGTGAAAGATTCGAAAGATTACTATGGGCTTGCTCCAGGAAAATCTGTCCTCAGGTGCACATAAATTCGGACTAATACATTCTTATCCACTTAAAGTGAAGGCACAGTATTGAAAAGTTATTTTCGCATGCCGATATGCATTTCCTATAATGTGCACAGAAGTAATATTTGCTGATGATAAAGAGACTATTATTGAGATCCGGGCCAAGTATGATCCTTCCAAAAAAACAAAGCCGAAGGTAATTCATCATGCTGAAATTGACTGTTCGCAAATGTGAATGATTCTTTTCGGATAGTAACATCCTTGATGGGTTGCATTTTGTACAATCTGTTTTGCAGGGGGTTCTTCACTGGGTTGCATAACCTTCACCTGGTGTCAATCCACTTAAGTTGGATGTCAGATTGTTTGACAAATTATTTCTTTCTGAGGTCGGAAATCTTTTCTTTTTGAGGCTTCCCTCACTTTTTTCTTTCTCCTTTTTCTTTTTTTGATGTCTTTCCTTGTGGTGCTGAAGTAGTGTGAAATCTGACAAGTTATTGTTGTTGCAATCAGAATCCGGTTGAACTTGATGATTGGATTGGTGATCTTAACCCTCATTCCAAAGTAGTGATACCGGAAGCATATGCCGTTACTTCACTCCGAGATGCCGCCGTTGGAGACAGATTCCAGTTTGAAAGGCTTGGTAGGTTCCTGAACCCTGTTAATGTTAGTTATTATGCTACTAAATACTGGAAAGACGTGAAAGAGGGATATGCATTTTTTTAAACATAAAAAATGTGCCTGACCAGTTGAAATAGTCTGACTGGTAATTCAAGCGAAGATATAATATAAATGAACACTTGAGGTTGTTTTTGCTGTCATCATGTGGAATCTGGTAAAAGTAAATGATTGGAGTTACTGAAAGATCAAATCAATATCAGTGAGCTTTTTGGTTTAGTAAAATTCAGGAGCTAGTTGCTGCTTCTTCTCGGTGTTTGGAATGATTACAATACGTGTAGAAAACACTAAACTCTTTTCACTAACTCTACCCATTTACTTACCATCCTCTCCTTAGATTTTACCTGTTCATTGCACATCTTGAATCGTGGATGAAATTGAATGAAATTTTCTTTTGGCTCGGGCTATTTTTTTTTATAGCTTCTATGGCAGGTCTGTGTGGCTATTTTTCCAATTTGAACTAATTTGCTCCAAAGTACTCACTTGTTGTTTATTCAGTCTGATTTTTATTTGTGGGATTTGTCATCTTAGGTTATTTCGTGGTTGATAAGGATTCGACATCTGAAAAGCTTGTCTTCGACACATTGCGAGATAGTTATGGAAAGGGTGGCAGGTAGGTTCCCTTCTGTGAGAATGGAATAGGAAGGCAGCACAATGCACGTCCATATAGATGTCATAACTCACAACCCAATCACAAAAAAGGTAGCAAATCCAACAATTTATATTTGAATTGTTGTGTATAGGCATAAACTATTAATTTATTTACCCAAAAGTATATTTTCTGCTGTAAGGCTTCAAATCTGGTGACTCTTCAGATTTTGTACATCATCTATATTGGACACATGAAAGATCATAATTCAGCTGTTCAGTTTTCCAAATGCTCTCTCTCTCTCTCTCTCTCTCTCTCTCTCTCTCTCTCTCTCTCACACACACACACACACACACACACACACATGTACGTGTATATATATATATACCTTTGTGCTGTGGTGCCCCAGGAGATCTGCAGCAATATTTGGAGGTGACCTTGGTAGAGCACCTCTAGAACTTAATAGCCGTACGTACGTTGCAGTTTTTCCTTTAGGTCAAAGCAGCTCTTATTGCATAATAATAGTGTGCTTTGACACGAAGGACTTGGGACCAGGGCTACCCATTTTTCATCAAAATCAGAGGAACCACACGTAAGTTGTAATTTGCAAGCCTTCTTCTCGAGAATAAATGTTCATTTTTTCTTCCAAATTGCGTAACTTTAATGCAATCGAAGTTGACTAAAATGAGTTTGTTTAGTATTTGTCGTTTATACATCTTGTTCTAAACCCGAATAAAAGAGGGGTTTCCGTTTTGTAGTTGACAGCCAACGAATATTAGAGGTCTTATGAACATGCAAGTTTACTCGCTTTGAGAAACAAGTTGACTGCTAGGATTAAAAGGAGAACTGGTAGTCTTCCACAACCAGACACAAGATGAGTTCTCAAACAAGTGAGACGAGGGAGTAGTCCAGTAGTTATGGTTCATTCTCAAATCTCGACCGTAGGTAATTGCGAGTTTTAATCTCATCTCCATTACCCCTAAACAACTGGGAAAGTTCCCAAACAAGCAATTGAGGATCTTGAGAGAGCATTATAATGGCATATTTGAGGGTGACAAGGTGCCTTTCAATTCAAGGGACCCACCACCATGGAAAAGTGGACAGTTAATGCAACATATTCATCTACGAACCCTAAAGTCTTAGGGCTTGAAGGACCAACATGAGAGGACAATAACTCTGTAGTCTGTAAAGCATGTAGTGTGACTTTGTGAGAGTTTAGTCTCTTCACTTTTATGTGACTGAAAATCCAACGGGGGGGAAGTATCTAGCTTTCTAAAATTCTATTTTCACATGAAAACATTGCTTGTTTGGTTACATGCTGCTTGACAATTCCCACCCACTGAAGTTCAACTTTTTCTTGAAAGATAAACTAGTCGCTGTGACTATGAAGGAACTTAAAATCTCCTAAGAATATAAACAGTAAACTTCTGATACTGTTGACCTTAATGATAATTAACTCACGACAGACAAAGTTAGATTGAGCTCAAAAGAAGAGTCATTGTGATCGGGACTTTAAATAACAAGTTGGGTCGTTGATGCGATTTCGGTTTAGGTGGTTGTTCCTGCACTAGTTGTGAGAAGAAATAACTTGCAATGAAACCTTTAAAGAAGAACAACTACTTGCCAGTTGGGAAATTCCATTGAATTTCTTCGGGTAAGGAGTGCTATCGCATGTGGTTGAAAAGGACTAAAAAAGAATCAAGAATTGGAGTGCAAAATGGAAAGAGATTGATTTGGTTGGTTTACTGACAATCTCGCTCACGTATCATCCGCTGGTGGATTGGCCGCTCTTCCTATTCTCTCTGGATTATAGTTCATCCCTCATGGAAATCGTTTCCTCGCTCGTGTACTTGAGCCTGTTCTGTTCGATATTGTTTTTTTTACTCGACTTGTCTAATGACCCCGTTACATATGAACTCTATTTGCACTAGTGACGCTTTACTATACACATATCTGAAAACGGTAACAGCTTTCTAAGTGAAGATAATTGACTTATGTTATGTCTTGTTTTGATATAGCTTTTCTCTGAAAGCTCCAACTAAACATGACACTAATCCACTAAAAACGAGTTATTCGTGGTTTATAGACAACATGAGTTTGTTGTGACTTGAATTTGGTTGATTTTATATGATTACAAATCAATTGAGGATGAATTAAGTGAATTTTGATAAGACGATACATGATTTAGACACATCAGTACTAATTGATAATAGTATTGAATGACAGGACTCATTGAGATAAGAGGGTTGCCCCCCTTATATTAGTTATTTATTGACCATGAGCACTTCACCCTTTCTCCAAAACTACCTTTTCGACGTTAATGGTACTTCCTAATGGTGGCAATGGGAGGAGTGTTGTTATGGATCTGTCACATTCTTTTAAGGACAAAAACAAATGTTTGTTGTGTGTACGTTATGGTGTCGAAATTGATAGATCACTTTGGCATGTTATCTAAGCCAGTAAGAGTCGATCTTTTTCAGGTTCATTGCTTGTATGTTAGATGGTGTTTAGTCTTCCACTAGTCACTCTGATACTCATCATCATGCCCATCTACCTTTTCCCATTGACATTTGTTAATGAATGGAGATGTCCACGATGCTCGTATTTAGTTTAGGACGTGTTTCTTTATCAATACACTAGGGTAACCCATGCGGCACATGCACGGTTCAACGTAAACCAATCAATTAATTTAGAGAGAAGTGAGGAGTAAAGATCCCAGAGAGAAAGAAAGTGAAGAGTGAGGAGAGGAAGATAAAATTTAATACGAATGATTTTGAGATAAATGTTGAAGCTGTTGGATGAGTCTATTTGAAATCGTCAGATGAATTTATTAAAACCTATCCTATTTTATATTTTAGATGACAAGTTCTACTAGTCTTTACATGTAGAGAGATAGACAGAGGAATTAGAATACAAAATCAGAGACTGATATGATATCTAAGTATGGACTCGCTGCCAATTGATAATTCAGGACCAAGTGTTGACTGCACAAGATAAGGAAATTATTGGTTATGAGCTTTATGGATGAGGACCTGAGGATGATGGTCCCAAGTGTAAAAGGTCTAGGATTTGAATAAAATAGCATTTGATAAGGTCTTTATCATGCAAGAAGCACAAGAAAGGGGAAAGCAAGTTTTGATATCACGGAACAACAGTTCAAAGTCATTATGCGGTAAAATAGCACGACACGGCTCGATTACTATCCTTATATAATAAAACTTATTGCGTGCATCGTGCGCAAGGGGAAATCATTGGAAGGTTGGAGGTAGAGGGTTCAAAATTCCCTGCTTGGGCCGCTTCTCTGTTTGGAGATTGACAGTTTAATTAATTAGCTACTGCTCAAAATNATTCTTTTAAGGACAAAAACAAATGTTTGTTGTGTGTACGTTATGGTGTCGAAATTGATAGATCACTTTGGCATGTTATCTAAGCCAGTAAGAGTCGATCTTTTTCAGGTTCATTGCTTGTATGTTAGATGGTGTTTAGTCTTCCACTAGTCACTCTGATACTCATCATCATGCCCATCTACCTTTTCCCATTGACATTTGTTAATGAATGGAGATGTCCACGATGCTCGTATTTAGTTTAGGACGTGTTTCTTTATCAATACACTAGGGTAACCCATGCGGCACATGCACGGTTCAACGTAAACCAATCAATTAATTTAGAGAGAAGTGAGGAGTAAAGATCCCAGAGAGAAAGAAAGTGAAGAGTGAGGAGAGGAAGATAAAATTTAATACGAATGATTTTGAGATAAATGTTGAAGCTGTTGGATGAGTCTATTTGAAATCGTCAGATGAATTTATTAAAACCTATCCTATTTTATATTTTAGATGACAAGTTCTACTAGTCTTTACATGTAGAGAGATAGACAGAGGAATTAGAATACAAAATCAGAGACTGATATGATATCTAAGTATGGACTCGCTGCCAATTGATAATTCAGGACCAAGTGTTGACTGCACAAGATAAGGAAATTATTGGTTATGAGCTTTATGGATGAGGACCTGAGGATGATGGTCCCAAGTGTAAAAGGTCTAGGATTTGAATAAAATAGCATTTGATAAGGTCTTTATCATGCAAGAAGCACAAGAAAGGGGAAAGCAAGTTTTGATATCACGGAACAACAGTTCAAAGTCATTATGCGGTAAAATAGCACGACACGGCTCGATTACTATCCTTATATAATAAAACTTATTGCGTGCATCGTGCGCAAGGGGAAATCATTGGAAGGTTGGAGGTAGAGGGTTCAAAATTCCCTGCTTGGGCCGCTTCTCTGTTTGGAGATTGACAGTTTAATTAATTAGCTACTGCTCAAAATGCTTCCAAATTAAACAATCCATAGAACTCTCTCTCTCTCTCTCTCTCTCTCTCTCTATCTCTATTATAGTAAACCTCTGCATCAAACTCTTTTCCTACAGTTGATTGAATTGTAATTTTCCCCTTCTTGAAATGACAACACACTTGATCTTTTAGTTAGCATTTACAGAGTTCAATAAACAAATGATTAGAGGAACTTTTTGTTTGTCGTATGTTAAGAGATTATAATGCCACTATGCTCCCTGACAGTTTTTACTACTTAAACTTCGCCCTCTACAAGTTAATTCTCTGATTACATGTGTAGTACACAGAATGTCATGACAACGTTTATTAATTCGACCCATTTGTTCTATTCAAATGAATTCCGATTGTAATATGAGACTTTGAATCTGTGAGCAGATAAAGTGAAAAATTTTAAAAATTTCAGGTGCAAAATGTCGTCGTTTGCCTCGAGGAAAAAGAGGGGATACATTACCCTCATCACCATGTACTATTTTTCAACTCTAATAACTTACAAACATAATCTACAATTAAGGTCTGTAACATTTACATAAGGATTCACCATGAGGTTGCTCATACTCATATACATATGAACAAAATCCTGTGTAGATCACTTTTAACCCTATATACCTACCACCTCCTCTGTCTTCTTAAACTGCCACAATTCATCCATGTTCCAGAATGTAGCTTCCATGTCATCATTGATCCAATCACCCACAGCAATCTGGGTTTCTGAAAGCAAAAATTCATCAGACCCTTCTTCTGACATAGCTCTCTGGTTGAAACCTTCCATATCAAAGTTGCTAATATCAACATGATAACAATCATCTAGGATTGAGTTTTTGTAGTCAGTTTGGGCAAACCCCTGATAAAAACTTGCTGATTTTTCTAAAATTTCAGGCTGCTGTGAAATTTTCATGGAATAAAAAGGACTGTCCTGTGCATGAGACTCCTGCCACTTCAGGGTTTGTGGAAGGTCAGGCGAATAAATGCTTGGGCAAGACTGTTCATTTAGAGGATTGATATTGTTCAGCTTGATAGGAACATTGTTGGTTTCTTGAGGAGGACTGGTAGAGTTTTGAGGTTCCATGGTTGAGATTGAAGAGGAAGAGGAAGATGATGGTAGTGATGAACTTTGCTCAATCTTTTCAAGCAATCTGGGCATCCAAAAACACCGAATCGCTTCGAGGAACTTCTTGCTATTAGAATCAATATTAAGTTGGCGGGCTTGTTTTTGGACCCTTGTTCTCCAATAGTTCTTGATTTCGTTGTCTGTTCTTCCTGGAAGATTCTGTGCAATTTTTGACCACCTGGGCTCAGAAAATCAACAAAATTACAGAAATGAAGAGAAAATTATGATCATCACATCAGTAAAATAGGTACATATATTACCTGTTACCCCATTTGGAATGGAGTTCAAGGATCAAGAGCTGTTCTTTTGGGGTAAGGTTTCCGCGCTTAATGTCCGGTTTTAAGTAATTTAACCATCTCAGTCTACAACTTTTTCCAGTTCTCTTTAGTCCTGCAATATCAAAATGAAATTGAAGAAAAAGGTGAAGAGGAAATTGAAGAATAGAACCCACACGTCCACGTTCATTATGTGGTTGAACATTTGACAAAGCGTAAACTACATGTTCTGAATTCGAGTCATTCTGATCGCTTAAAAATTAAAACTTTAGTGGAATTGATGTTTTGGGATGATTACATGCACCCGACTTTTGCATTGGAATCATGAGTCCAAAGGATATACGATAGAACAACTTTCAGTTCCCAACAAAAGTAAAAAACAACAAAAGGGAGATGATGAACATTGAACATGTCGTACTATTCAACTTATGTAATGGATTTTCACCTGCACATTTTGCTAGCAAGTTCCATCGGCCTTCGCCATTACAGTTAATGTAATGGATCAGAAGGGTGTCTTCTTCAACAGTCCATGGCCCTCTTCTCAGCCTAAATTCTTCATCGGAATTGCTCATTCTCTTACTTGGGAAAACTGTTCTCATTGAACTACAGAATGTTAAATAACAAGAGAGGAGAGAACCTTAGGTAAGCTGTCTTTTTTTTTGTTTGAGCTAAGGTGTGAGAGGGAATCTAAAGCCAACCAGAGCTTTATAGACCCCAGAAAAGTTCCATATAAACAAAGAAAAAACTAGAAAAGCAGACCCAACTAGAGTTTTTCCACATGACTCTTGCTTTTTTGTAGAACCCAAATGGAATTTTCTTAAATGAGGTTGGTCAGCAAGTGAAATGTACCACAGAGGAAACAAAGTAGTAGTAGTGCTCTTTGTATGAGCATCTAAGTGTGCACAAATTATTAGTGGTTCTTGTCTAGGCTAGGTACACACACTTGGTCACACCCCCGAACAAATAGATAAACAAATGCATTTTGAGTAAAGTATAAAAGGTTAGTGTTCTTTTCTTTTAAATATTTACATAGGTATTAGATCTTGGGCCGACTACTCTCTTCGATGTTTGTGAGTTAACGGTAAAATCTGTATAAATTTTCTCTCAAAATAAATTTAATGTAATGACTGATCGTAAAGACAATTAATGGGGGGATTTGTCCTTTAAAACCTTCTAATTAGTGAAACTTTAGAAAGAGAAGTAGGACTACGGTGGTGTTTGATAGTATAATCAAGTATCAAAATCAAAGACATTTCAAACTTTTCAAACTAAAGAATTAAGTACATTTCATTATCAAAACTCATCATTTAAAAATTAGGTACACGAGTAATGTTATCGAGATCTAATTTTTAAATTTTTTTTATTGAGATCTACAAGTTTAATCTAATACACTAATTTAATGATGTCACTCACATTGCGTAGTTATTACTATTGAAGGTTTTTAATAATGACATATTTCATGTCAAATTATTAAGTCAAAACATTGGATCAATTTTTTAAGTCCTTTTGTATTACTCTATATTCAATTCGAAATATTCACATAGATTGATGGAAGGAAAGAACTAAGCAACTCTAAGAGAAAAGTTAAAAGGGAAAAAAGAAAGGCATGACCTTGATAATGATTTTGGATGTTACCTATGGGGAATGATTCCTCCTATGTTGTTGCCTTTATAGATTCTCTATGTAAAAAAGTGTTTCAAAGGACAACACAATATATGATAAACAAACATTACAATTAAATGTGGGATTATTTAGTTCGAGGCATCCGAAGGGTCGGCCATATTGTATCTCGGGAGACCCGGCCCATTCAAATAAAAATAGAATAAGCATTTATGACTAAGGGGAATAAAATGTCAACCACATGAGGAAAATAGATAGAGATAATAGAAGTCGATCGATGAAAGTCGAAACTGTCACGTTATTTGATTAATTGGGCGGCAAGCATATGACAATACTTGGAACTTTGCAGTAGTTATCATTGTTTTGAAGAAAATGATGTTTTGCCTGCAACATAACATTGTTTTTCCCTATGCTTTTTCTTGTTTTTCGAAATCAAATTGAGCCAAAGATTCAAGAGGGTTATGAAAGGTTTCGATTTTGGATAGGTTAACTTAAACCCAAATCGAATCCAAGTAAAACACTATGTATTTGAACATAGTATATCAGTATTCGAGTTAACCTCCTTATCGTCCTTGGTTAGGAGGATAATTCAAGTAAAAATCGAGTAATCCTCACTTTGTGGTTTTTGGGACCTAAATTGAATTTGGATTTTGCTCAAGTCATGTAACCTAATAATCAATCACTTGAATCGGATAAGATTTCAACTTGAGAAGTGATAATCAAAATCTCAAACTAAAAATATTGACAATATTCGAATTAAAAAATTTGATTTAAATTCGGGTTAAAGATCTTATAACATGGGTTAAACTTGAGGTGACCTCTCAAGTCTCTACTTATCTAATCTACCCAAGTTGCCCCACTAGGTTATGGGGACTATACTCACTTCCTCCAAAACAAAGAAAGCATCCTTGTGTGAAATGCTATAAGGTCTCAAACTTGGTGATTTGTTATCCTACTCAAAAGCTCTATAAATAAATGATTTATTTCTCATGAATATCTTAGTATCGGTGTGAATGTCACGTCTTTGACCGAACTGGAGAAGAAATTAATCGCGGTACACACAAGCTGGCCCGGATACCCTGACCATGGAACCAAAAAAAGAAAAAAAAAAACTCTATAAAATGGTGAACTGTGAGGGATGGTGGGTAGGGGCCTGGGAGCTGAGAATGTAAATACACCAAAAGAAGATAGAATAAGAATCAATTATTGATGGAAGAATAGTGGTTGTAGTACTCATGTTGGAAGAGATCATTCTCAAAGAAAGAAAAAAAATTTCCATTCTGGGTAATAGCTATTGAACTAGTGGGGATTGATTCTTTGTTATCTTTCTATTTTGGGCTGTACAAAGTTGATAGAATTCATTGTGACCTTGAGGAGATAAAGATTGAGGAAATCTTATACATGGAGTTTAGGATGACATGTTCATGAGCAAACATTGTACCTAAGCTTGCTCATGTGTGTTCTAAGGTAGGGGACTGAGTCTGGGTTAGACCAAAGAGCTCCATTTGGAGAAAGAGAATATGATAATGATGTTATTGTATGCATGATCAGCAATTTGACCTGTTAGTGTTCCACTGAGATTACATGTCACATTTCCATGTTACTATTAGAAGATTCGGGATTGTTAGGGAGTCCCTATAAACATAGAGAAGTGACTTCACTTATTTTGGGCATTTGTAGCCAAGGGTTATATGACAGATCAATATGGTCAGAAGTAGAACTGATCGGTGGCAAATTTCGACTCCGTTGGTATAAAATTATTCAAGATCTTTTGAAAAAGTCTTGGCTAGTTCTAAAAAAACGTTTTTTAGTCTGCTTTTTATTCATTTCTATTTTATTTCGTATTTTTGCATTTTAGACTTGGGTTTCTAGGTAAGTTTGGACCTGTGTTTTAAGTAGTATTTTTTTTTTTTTGAAGAATTAGTTTAATCTTTTACCCAATTGCTGTGATATTATTATGAATCAACAAAACTTTCGAATAGTTTTTTGCCTCCTATTATTGATGATAATCAACAGATTACATGTCACATTTCCATGATAACTTTCGAATAGTTCTTCTAGTCATGGTCCATGTATTAAATTAGTTTACTGGTGTTGCCGTGGCGCGAATTATGGATAATAATGGAAGGCAATGGCATCTTTCAGGCTGGCTGCCCATCACCTTGAATATTTACCCAATTTCATCAGTTGCCAAATGATTCCTCAAAGGACTTTGATACATGCCTACTATGGATTTATATAAAGCAGAATCATCTGCACTTTTTACGATGCGGAGCAAATTCTTCATGTGAGAAATTCTGGTTTTGCTGTTAAGGTCGGACTCAGAGTTAAAAGATATACAGATTTATGTCTCACCTCCTATACTGTACGACCCCGTAGGGGCGGAGGCAGGGGGCAATTGCCTCAACTGAAATTCTAAAAATTTGTAAGGTTAATTTAAAATTATAATAAAAATTAATTTTTTTAATAACTTGTTCTCACTCATTGTTTTTTTTAGCATTAAAAATTTAGACTCAAGGTTCGCTCATGGAGACTTAATCTCACAATTTTTTATTTAATCTCTAGTTATCTTTATTCATTCTACAATGACTCACTTAAATTACTGAATCAATCCTTCTCCAAATTCGCTTACTAAGACATAAATATATGTTTTTGATTAATTATCTAAGTTCAAATATACTACATCATTTTCTAAGATTTTAGATTTGGGTGCATAAAAAATTTTGATCTAATTATGATTCAATTCAATTCACTTCGATTCAATTTGATATGCATACACAAATATGTATATGTAAACATTTGATAAAACTAAACAATTAAATTGAATTAAAATCACAATGCGACACACACACACACAATATATATATATAAGATTAGATTTTTGATAAAATTCATAATATTTAATAGCTTTGAATATGGATTAAAAAAACGAAATCAATTGAATAATTAGATTAGATTCAAAATAGGGTTTTCAAGACAAATTTTCATTCAAATGAGTCAAAATCTTATCATTGACAAGCACACTCACGAAATAATATGTCAAAATAGCAATCTCTATGAAAACTGTCTTTATTCTAATGCTTAAAAAAAAATTATATTAATTTTTCATAGTCGGCTATCATTTTTTCACATGTATTTATATGTGAAATCTTTAAAAGTAAAAAAAATAATATGAAGAATTATTTTATAAAAAGTGTTAGATTAAAAAAAAATTTCTTATAGAGAATGAAATTTTGAGATAATAAATATATTCACTAGTTACAACGAACTTTGATAATTATTGAGTAATCATTTTCTTTAACTTGATGGTTACCTCCAGTTCTCTTTAACTTGATGGTTACCACCACTGAAAAAAAATTCTAGCTCCGCCCCTGCGCCCGTGTCGGTTGAACTTCCAAACATTACCCGTCAAATTTTGTATTGTTTCTCCACCCTATTTGTTTCTTTATTTGACAATGGCCCCATATATTTTTTCCCCTTGTTGGACAGAAGTGAATGAGAACTGCTTCATGGAGCATTCAAACAACTTTGGTATTTCCTCAATCTGATGGAATTATATTGAGCCCAAACAGGGCCAAGCACAATGCTGCTACAGTAAATAGCTGTTTTCACGGAGGCCCATAGGGTGTAGGCCTTTTTCAAAATGACGAGATGGCCTTTTATGGACCAGGACGGTGGCCCGACCAATTGATAGTCTTACGGCCAGACAAAATTCAAAAAATAATTATTATAGCTTTAATAACAAGATGGAAATATTATCATTATGAGCTAAGTTATCGTATTATAAATAATTAGATTAGATAGAGTAATTGAGTCTAATACAATGTGAAAGGATAAAAGACAAGATTAAATAGGGTATTAAAATAATACGTAATTTTATCTAGTGTTTGACAATACACAACATAAATGTTGGATAATAGTTATTTAATTCAATCTATTATTTGGTTAAAAA